TGGTAGAGAACACCAAGATTGGCAAATTCGCCACTGGAGCCCTGTGCTCTTCATAGATGAAAGCAGGTTTTCACTGAGCACATGTGACAGACGTGACAGAGTCTGGAGATGCCGTGAAGAACGTTCTACTATCTGCAACATCCTCCAGCAAGACTGGTTTGGCAGTGGGTCAGTAATGGTGTGGAGTGGCATTTATTGAGGGCCATACAGTCCATGTGCTCGTCAGAGGTATCCTCACTGCCATTAGGTACCGAGATGAGATCTTCAGACACCTTGTGAGATCATATGCTGGTGCGGTTGGCATTGGGTTCTAATGCAAGGCAATGCTAGAGCTCATGTGAGTGTCAGCAGTTCTTGCAAGACAATGGCATTGATTATATGGACTGGCCTGCCCGTTTCCCAGACCAGAATCTAGTTGAGCACATCTGGGACATCATCACAAATCCGAACCTCCATGGGTTGATACTTGATCTCCATTGATTTTTTTTTTTTGTGATTTTGTTGTCAGCACATTCAGCTATGTAAAGAACAAAATATAATTCATTGAGATTAAGGATGTCTTATTTTTGGGTTCCCTTTATTTTTCTTAGCTGTGTATTTCCCTAATTTTACAACACTTCCTAAACACTCGATCAAACTAAATTATTTCAGATTCAGGAAAAGGGAAGTTTGAGTGTGATTACTAATAACAAAATTCAGTAGCAATGTGTCTTGATTACCAACACACACCTCTGCTCTCGCTTCATGGTAAGCAAGAAATGCCTTGCATAACTAAGCACAGAGGCTTAGAAGTCGTGACTGGGGACTCTCTGGCCACAGTTCAAAAATCAATAAGCTGTCTAGTGGAGCCCGCCCCACGAGAAGACTACAGACAGATTACGCAGCCTGCCACTGATCACTTGGCCCAATAAAACATCTCACTCAAGTCCTGCAACAGCAGTCTCTTAAAACAGAGGATGTGGCAGGAATAGAACCAGCAAGAACAAGAGCTTTTTACATTCAATTTATTCAAATCTGATTCTACTCTCCCATTCAAACATTTGCTTTTAAGAAATTAAAACAATCTCACAAAGAACCAACATGGGTCCGAAAATAAACGTTGAACCAAATAATTTTGTAGGAGTTTAAATAATTGGATATAAGGTATCTGGTAAAAGGACGGCATTAGTATAGTGCTTTTCTAAGTCACGGCTTACAGTACAATCATTCACCAACTTGGTCACACTGATGGTGATAACCTGCTAGGTAGCCACAGCTGCCGTGGGGCACTCTGACATCAAACCCTCAGATCACCACCAGCCGACAAGGAAGCCTGGGTTTGAACTAGCAACCCACTGACTACAGCCACCATCATATCCTTACCAAATCTTTCACAGTATATTAAATTCCAACTTGATAAAGATACTAAAGAATATTATCAACACTTTTTGATGGCAATACTCCCATCAGGTTTTAGTATCAGCTGATACTAGGGCTGAATGATGTACAAAAAGCATAGATTAAAAATAATCAATAACCATATTGATATCAATAATTATAGATATTTATTTAAAAAATGTAAACATAAATATTTTAAATGCAACCCTGGAGAGTTTATGTAATTACTTTATGATAAATCAAGTTGCTTGAGTTACCAAACTTGATTATAATCAATTCTCTGCAAACTTTTGACCATAGTGTTTTTGGGTCAGACTTGTAAAAACCAAAAAAAACTGCTGTGCTGGTAAACTACTGTAACCTTTGTACGGGACAATTTCCTCCACCGCTTCTTGCTTCAACGTCTTGCTGTCTGTTTTGGTTTGAGAGGATAGGACTTGGTGATGGAGCGTCTGTGTTTTTGATTAGTTGGGAGTAAGTATTGGCTCTAGTATTAAACTACCTGTTGTGGATAGGAGTAGGCTCGGGTCACGTGGTGTCTATCGATTGTTATTTACCTGTTGCGCACCTGTGTGGGAAGGCTGCTATAATGAACAGGTGATATGGGAAGTCAACCTTTGCTGACCACTCAAATAATTTTTGCATGAATTATTAGCTCTACTTTGTGGATCTGTTCGTTTTTCTGGTTGTGTGATGCTTGTGAATGCTGATTGAAGGAAATATTTTCGAACAACCAATAAAGTCGCTTTTATCGAAACCTGGACTGGAATGCTCTGAGGGCGCGTCAACACATCCCCTAATTAGCTGCTCGGCGACCCAATGTTTACACTCGCCAACACTACCCCATAGACTAAAACAGAAAAAAGAAAGAAAACTTTTATTGATGTTTATATTTATCTATTTTTGTTCTATCTATTCATTTGTCGTTTCTGTCATGCTGTATATATCTTTATTGAATTATTGTTCAGCCCTAACCGATGCGATTACATGGATTGACAATACATTATTTTAATGTAGTTTTGATTATTGCTACTGGTTACCTGATCTCATTAACTTTATTTACACATAACATGTTTTTACTTACATTTTCAAATGAGACAGCAAAAACACTTGCAGCACATCTACTGGGTTTCTTTCCGTCTTTTTAACTTCTAATCCTCCTACTCCCCACCTATGTTTTAGGACCGAGGAGCCTCTTGGATGAAAGGCAAAATGTATTCAATATATTCAGACAAGTCCAGTTTTCAATCAAAACTCTCAAGATGATCATGTCTAGGATGACTGACGCTGGTTTCACACTGCAGGCATCAGCGGAACGGAACAGCAGTGGAGCGGCTCATTTGCGAACTTCAAAGCGGTCCTTTTCACACCGGGAGAGTCTTGGCCGCGGCACGGCTTCCTCGCTGCGCCTCGCTGTACCCGCGAGATTCTAAAATCCCTCGAGACTTCTGACACCTTCCTCATCGAAAGATCACAACCCCCCGCGAGGAATCACACCGTTGCACTTCTCGAAAGAAACTGGTGGTAAACAAAGCCGTTCGGTCACATGTACTGACATAAGTTATATATAACATAGCAACGTTGCATTTTATTTTGAAAATAACCGGGGATTTTACAATGAAACCGTGTGGTTTCCTGTCTCGCACTATGTGAATTGCGGAAATTGATGTGTCCCAGAAGCGGCTCGCGAAAAAAAATAGAACTCGATCCTATCTTTAGTGGTGCGGCGCGGCATGCTGCTTCTGGGACAAGCCTGGAAATTGCCGCATCGCGGCTGGTTTGAAACAGTCCATAGACTATAATTGCATTCTATTTGAAGCGGTGCTGCTTCGCTGCCGTTCCGTTCCGCTGATGCTTGCAGTGTGAAACCGGGGTGAGAATCTACATCATGCTGCTGCAGCACAAAGCATCAAAAATTCAATCCAGAGGGCAAATGAAAACACTTAAATGTAGCTGTAACACAATCTTTGTCAGATTTAAAACTTTACAGCCCTCAACAGGCTAAATAGTGCACAGTGTCAAATAAAAGTCTAAACGTTGTGTGTTGTAAGATTTGATAATATTGTTTATTGAATTTGCATAGCTAGGCTCCTAGTGAGAGAGCAGTGAGTGGACTCTGGTGTCTTCCACCATTGAGACAGGTTGCTCGTGGTCGTGTGTTTTGCTCATAGAGACGCATGTTGCTGAGTGTAGCTGCGAGTGACTGTTGCTGCAGCGGGTGTCTTTTTATGCTACGGGGCTTAAAATCTCACCTCACTCTGCTAAGAGTTTGTCTTTTAAAACTTGTATTAAATCTCTGGTGTTTTGACAAGTTTCTGTCACGCTGATTTTTTTCATTGCAGGATTCACAGACGACACAAAAGTTTGGCAGGCACCTCTGTATAAGTTTTCGCTGCCGCAGGACAGCGCAGTGCAATGGTAGGGTGATGGGGAACACTACGCTGCACACAGGGTCTCTATTGGCTGAAAAGTATGAGCGAGAGGTGATCAGCTGGTAAGATCAGCTCTGAAAAGCATTGATCAGAATTTGCTGATCAAATAATTTTCACAGAAATCAGAAGATAATGATGGACATCCAATCAATCAAAACATCCGTAATTATTTATACTGAGGAACAAACAATTGAGAAGCACAAATATTTTAAATAAGCTGCATAAAAACCCTTTCACCCATGACAAGAGTCCAGAATAAAAAATGTATTACTACAAATTTGTTTTACTTTCGAATATCAGTGACTTTATAAAAACATCATTGAGTTAAATTGCTTAATTTTCTATTCCTAGAAAGAGTTAAAATCATAAATTTCTTGACTGCTTTGACATAAAATTGGCTATTTATTTTTTGTGTTGTCTAGAGCTGCAGCTCATCACCACTACCTCTTAACTAAGTCTAAGTCGAGACATTTTTAAACCCAGTCTGTGGCTGAATCAGAAAACTAGCCTTTCCCTGTACATTTCAGGCTGCGTGGGAGAGCAGATTCAGAAATATATAGTGATGATTTGTAACGTTTTTACTACACAACCTGCTTTAAAGTTTAGACAGTGATTGATTTTTCCTTCGAGAAAAACAAGAACTCCCACTTATTTCATCCCATTTCCCTCATAAACCGCTGTGTCATTTCAGAAGAAGGTGAATGAAGATTAAATAAACAAAATGAAAGATAATTTGATGTTCCCAGAGATATGGCAGACATTCAATGGCGGAAAACAAAAACATGGAAACAAGTTCACACACAATTTTCAAAAACATATGAATAAACCAGTAAAACCTGACTACATCATCCCAATACACTCTAATGGAGTTTAGTTAAAGCTATAGTCAATCAAACTGAACACTGGTGATCCAGGCATTGTTAACTTACCAGTCTGAGCTTTTTCTGACCAGCATTTACAGTTTAACATTTTTGATTCAATACATTCTGGATCCACATTAATATTTGTTTTTACCATATCTTGTATAATTCAAATACAGCCTCTTTCAATTAAACCTTTATTTATAATGTGTCCCTGTAAATATTATACTGCAGGTGGAAATTATAAGTGGAGGGTGCAGCAAGTATGAACTAGTGGATTTTACTCAATTATGATTATGTTAAATGTCTGTCACATGAGATAAAAGCTTACCAGGACACGGAAGAAGTAGAGGTACTCAGCAGCACCAGAGTAATTCCCACACTCATACTGGAACTTGGCATATCGGTACAGAGTATCCAAGTACTCCTGACGGAACTTCAGAAGAAACACAACACGACAGTTTTAATATCAGTGTACATATGAATCGTTGTTCGACCAAGTAAACAACAACTCAAACAGATGTTCAGTTTAAACACTGTGCTTGCCCTGTAACTGTCTGCAGCTGTGGGGCCTGAGGAAACTGGTGTTGAAGGGTGAATGTTTTATTAATCAGAAAAATCTCAGAAACACTGAGGAAATATTTAAAGTGATCCAAGTTGAATTTTTTATTGCATTTTTGGGATCAATAACTCAATGTTCTACTGAGACAGCACAGTATTGCTCAAGGAATATAAACGTATTAATGCCAGGGTGCTACTTATTTGAGGTATTTTTCTCTGAACAGAAAGAAAATAACTTTATTAACAAAGCTGCAAAGCAGTGATAAAATTAAATGTTTTGGGAAATGTAATTTTATTTTTTGGGCCTACTTCTCATCCTTTTCCTAATGTTGCTTGTTGATGTCCAGTTTTATCCATACCAAACAGTTTAAACCATTTATATAAACCTATTTCCTGCAGCAGGTCAAGGGCCCCAATGTCTGGACTGGGTGGAGGTACGCTGAGGATAGCAGGTCAGCAGGATATTGGAGTGGGATGGAACCAAAGTAGGGAATAGTAGGAAGCCAAGCATCATGTTAAATTTAGAACGTCTGGCATTCTTGTGGCCCAATCCACGAGTCCCGAGCTATTCCGTTTATTCTTAACAATTCACCACAGAATGTAAATGTCCACAGAATTTGTGCAAGCCATACAAACCCTGAAAATGAGTTAAGGGTTTTGGGAAGTAGCTCTGCTTTTCCCTACTCGGCCTGCCCCTCCCACTTTGCCCCTGAAACAACTGTGGGTTCACACAAGAGCCATGGGAAACGCGGCGAAGAAGAGAGATGTCAGCAAATCAGGCCAACTTACGTTGTGCTTTTCTGCCAAATAGTCAAAAAGCATCCGTCCATCTCTGAAAAAAGAAGAGAAAGACAGTTGCTGTAGTTAGAAGCTGTTCAACTTGATGTAACTTGAGTGTCCATTTGGCTGACAGTACAAAATTTAGAAGCTCATTCAGGTGTACTTTTCCACCTATGGTCTACAGCAAAAGCCTTCCAATAATGAAAATGATTCACTTTAAAAACAGTGTGATGGGCGTTTATTAGATTTGGTTTGGCTATAAATCCATGTCAAACTAAGATCTGGTGAATAAAGTGAAGACTGATTTCTCAGCACAGCCTCTGTGTCTCTATGGGTTTGTCAAAATAGAGGAATGCACTGGCTCTTTGAAACTTTTGTATCCCAAATGCATTTTACTACTTAGCCTGTGACCAAAACTCTATTTATGTGGACACCACATTGAAACTATGCGTCTTTCTAGGGTAAATTTGGTTTTATAAAGGGAATGAGTGAGTATGCGTTCGCTGGCACGTATGTGTGGTGTGTTAAATGAATTTCACTAAGGCTCAGGCATTCTTCACTGCTTCAAGCTAGATTGTCTCTGCTTAGAAGCTAAAGCTGGGTGGTTTCTATAAGCTCCTTCTTGCTTTCCCCTGGAGTGTGGAATGTCAACCTGCTGTGTACTGTGCAGCTGATACTAAAAATTGATCAAAGCAAACAACAGCTGCACATGCATCTCTCAGCACAAATCCACGACCCCAGCAACAATGACACAACATATCTACAAGATTAACTTTGGATTTACAGGAGATTTACAGGGGAGATAACAATGAAAATGTAACTGAAACATCAAACATGTTAACTCAAAAAGCCATAAGTAGTGGTCATTATGAAGCCTGTTGCGCAAAAAGATGACCAGGTAACATCAATAATATCTTAGGATCAAAACAGGTAAAAAATGCATTAAGATTTGCAGTAAATCTGAGTTTTCAGATTTAAAACAAGCAACAAAAAAAAATTCACAAGAACTAGTCGACCTTTTGGTCTAAATTATAGCAAAAAAGTGACAAAACCATCCATCCGTTATCTAAACCCGTTTACCCATGCAGGGTCGTGGGGGGGCTGGTGCCTATCGCCAGTAGACTGGCCTGCCAGACTCGTCCTCCTGTTTAATTCTGCATAGAGAAAGCGTCTGGTAACTCACAGGCAGAGAGGCAAATGAGGAGCGGGACTAGGCAGCTCAAAAATAACCAATCAGAAAAAAGACAGAAATGCCGACCATACCACGCAACACTGTAGTCAAAAAGGCGTCTGGCAATGGCGCAAACATTTTTTTATTTTTTTAGAAGAAAGGCTTTTAGCAATTCTACTTGTTGTTTTAAAGACATTCAAGTCATTTAGAACAGAGGAAAGAGCCGCAGCGACCTCCGTCGCTGTCTTCGTCGTTTATGAGAAACGGAGCGTCACCGTGTGTGACATCCGCGACGCTGTAGTTTTTCAGCTGTAGTCAAAAATGGCATCCGGCGACAGCGCTAACATCTTTCTTTAGAAGAAAGGCTTTAGGGCTGTCGCGGTTGAGGAATTCCCCCTGCGGTGATTCAGGGTGGCTTAATATTGCGGTGTGCGATATTATTGCAGCCCTTTTTTTTATTGCAGTACTATCTAAACATAATGTTTACATATTTAAAAAAGGTTAAAAATTGCCGTGCCTTCTTTTATAACACTTTACTGAATGCAGATCAAAGGGCAGTAACAACACAGATCGCAGTAACGTTTGTTTCTCCGACAGTCGGAGTCCGACTGAACTTAAAAACAACAAAATTCAGGAGGTTAAACTTTTAAATGCAAATTTGGCTGCAGCATCTAACAAATGAGAAAACAAGTCCCCATTTTGTTTAGTTGTTTAAAATCAAGCATAAAAAATTACATGTACCGGGCGCGGGGCACTATCATTTCACTTTCACACACACGAATGACGGTGATTTATAGCTCGGCCACGTCCTTGTTACCCACAAGCAAAACCAGCATGTTAACCATATACGGTTTGAGAGAGGATCTGAGAGGGGTGGCAACATTTCCAGCAACACTGAAAACCCTCTCGGATGGTGCACTCGTTGCACTAACGCACACGTACTTGCGTGCGACTGGCGAGCAAAGGGAATCTCTCCCGGTTGTTGCTCCACCATGTCAGGGGGGTTTCTTTGGGTGGATGCATTCCTCCTGCAGGTAGCGAGTGAGCTCCTCAGCTCAAACTCTCTTCGGGACGGTTGCAGAAGCAGTGCTTGTCCGGGACTTCAGCAGGTCTCAGAGCGTTTATTATTATTTTTTTGCCGCTGGTGGCAGCTCTGTGTCGGCCAAGGACTCTGGCTGCGCAGCAGCTGACGTACTGAAAACCAAAGTGCTCCCAAAGGAGCGAAGTAACGTTTCGTTTTGATACCAGCGCAGCCATCCTTCTCAACATGCATCATTGAGTTGAACCAAGTTCAGTAATCGCGGTGGCCCATGATGCAGCGCGGTGGGCTTCTTCATATTGCGATATTTCATTTTTGCGGTTACCGCAACAGCCCTAAAAGGCTTTTAGCACTTCTACTTGTTGTGGTTTTAAAGACGTGTCCAAGTCATTTAGAACAGAGGAAAGAGCCGCAGTGAACTCCGCTTCAGTCGCCATGTTTATGACAAACTCAGCGTTATGGTGTGTGACGTACGCTACTCAGCGCTGATTGGCTCGGTTAGAATTCTCAGGGGGTGGGGTTATTTGAATAGGAGAGTTCCCAGACCCTTTCTCTGTGCAGAATTAAACAGAGGAGGAGTCTGGCAGGCCAGGCTATATCTCCAGTAGTCAACGAGCAAAAAGGCGGGGTACACCCAGGACAGAGTGCCAGTCGACAGAAAATCATGTTCCACAAAATGTTGCCAATAATAGCAGAACAAATTGCAATAATGTCCATTGGCTTTGGAGACAGCTCTTCACGGAGCAAAGATGACATTTTTTATGTATTTAAAATACCACCTTATGAAGAAACAACGCTGTCAGCTAGTCAAAGACAATGTACATTTTTTTTAACTGAAGACTGACAGCAAGAAATAACTAAAAAAGGCTATTTTGACCAAATATCAACTTGGTTTAAACTTTTTCTCCCTTTAAACAGACAGAAACACAGAAATGGAAAAAAAAATTGATTAACTGAAAATCCTCGGAGAAAGAACTAAAATGAATAATGAATCTAATCCAGCTACCTGAACCAAAGAAAACATAACTTTAACAGAGTTTTTTAGTCTTTTTGTGAGTCCAACAAATTTCATCAGCAGATATATCGAATGCTTCAATCAATACATGAAGCTCCATGAAGCAAAAGCTACATATTATAATTAAAGCGTGCTGTCATTATGTTTTATCTAAGGAACAGGGAGAAACATGATGGCAATAATGATGCTAAATAAGATGATGAAAAATAATTAGGAATCACAAAAATTAAGGTCCGATGTAAAAAAAGGTTTAAAATAAAAGGGAAACGATGCAGCTTATGAGCTAAAAAAAAGGAGGCTTTACCTGGTGGACTGCATCTGCCTGGTTGTCTCAGGATCCTCAAACATCTTCACTATCGGTTCTGTCTCAGACTGAAGCTGCTTCAGCTGGGCTACAACCTCTGTCCTCTTCTCCTTCAGCGCTGATAGAGGATGAAGGAAGATTTTAGCTACAGCAGCATCATAAACCAGCATGCACACGATCTAGCCTCTCATACCGGAAACATTGTAAAATAAGTTGACTGCTTAATCAATTCCAAATAGAGTGAATGACCAGCAAGTAGCTCTTTATGACATCAATAAAAATATACAAAATATACTGATGGGTTCTCTACCTCTGGAGAAAAGGGGATGTGCAGTGTGTGTCCAAAAAGCATCAACACTTACTATGAGGGATTTCCTTCTCAGGGTAAAGGTTTCTGTACACATCCATGGCAAAGTCCACCATGTTTGTGTCACTGAGGAGGTCCAGTTTTCCATGAAGCAGTTCATCCTCGTTGTAGATCTGAAACACACATCATCACACAATAGGACTTTAATATGAAGCAAATAAACTTATATTCGATTGTTACAAAATGCAAGTTATTTCCAAGAAAATATACTTTTTTTAAAAAGCCTTTGTTGCTCCTTTTCTTAAACTTGTATGTTCATATGAGCACCGTTCTTTAAAGTTGACACTAATTCATCACATTGAACCACTGAAGAAAGCAGCATTAAAGTAATCATCTAATTTGATGAACCTTTTTAACAGAAAGCTAAAATGTTCCAAACTACACTCCCAACAAACTATTAAAATGAACTATAGACATGTGATCACTTTAAATATTTAAATTTAGAAAACGTGTGTTGATAAAAGTTACTATTCTCGGTGTGCTTTATCGTTGACTATTTGTGTTTATGTTTTGAAAAACCACCGAAAAATAACCAATTACAACAAATGTCTATGTTGAGAAACGCGCATTTCTGTTAGCTTGATAAAATCTAGCTTGCTATAATGCTACAAAAAGAAACTACAACTTCCGGTATTGACAACAAAAATAAAGTAAACTAAAGAATTCGCACGTGGATTTTTTTTAAATAAGCGTTAACATTTATATACCAATGTATATAGAAACTACTTCAAGCATTGAAACATTGAACAGCACTGTATATTCTCCAAGGTGTTAGTAAAAATGCTCATCTCTCTGCTTTTATTTTTAACTCAGCTGTTTCTATTTCCGGTTAAAAATGTGTAGCATTCGAACACGGACAGACAATGTGGCCAGACTCGACGTGCTTCAGCGTATAAATCTGTTTAAAAAGCAAATATTGTTTCGTAAAAATACCAACAGCTTGTGAAGAAATGTTTTAAGCTGAAATATTTCGTACCCCTTTGACGGACAGGAACTCCAGAAGTGGAAAAACGAGATGACGGTCTAAAAAGTGAGCAATCTTAGTGGTGAGGTCGTACTCCGCCATGTTTGCTACGGGAAAGAGGAAGTGGCTGAATGATGCAGTTACGTACAAGCATACTGACCAATCAGAGACAAGCTCAGCATCCTTTAAAAAAAAAAAGAAGAAAAAGACGAACCTGCTGCTTCCATAGAATGTATACAGTAATAATAATATGTTTATATACATATCAGTGCCTGCTTCTACAGAATGCAACATGAGCTTAGAAAATGTGTCACTGGTAAAATTTAAAGTGAACAAATTAATGAGAGTGAAATGCTAATAACATTGATTTGTGTACGCGTGTGGGCATGCAAGTTTCATGTGCTGTCCATTACAAAGTATTTCAATAAGTCTAGACATTAATACATTGAATATGCGTCTCACTCCCCCTTTTTTATTCTTTTGGTAATATTTGTTACATTTCCTGTACAGTGTAGCTGATTGAAAATGCTTGTTGATTTATTTATTTTTTTTACTTCACAGATTTGTCCAAATGATGCATGGCTGTAACACTTTCATTCCCATGATTTGGTCAGTGTTGATGTGGTAAAACATTAACCTTTTCCAGATGTATATAAAGTTTGTTGGAAAGAAAAACATACTTTCTTCCAGGCACCACCGATACGTCTACTAAAACTTTTTCATGAAGCTGAAACCCTTTAAGGGCAAATATTGACATTATTCGTCATCACGACTCCTCGCTCACAGGCCTGCAGTATTATAATGAAAACAACCAGTCATTTTCAATCATGTGACTTTTGCAAAAGGTTAAAATGACCATCCCTCTTTGTCCTCTTTAATAACAGTTACTGGCACACAAAGATGCCTATGTGTTGACCATATCCTGCTGAAAACAGCTAATTTTAACCACCAAATGGCTCATCTCCAACACTTTTCACTGCTACATTGTTTTCTTGACAACCACACTGCACTGTCTTGTGTCCTCATACAATTCTTCCCTTGTTGGCTCTGGCTTCTCTCCCTTCAACCTTCATCTCTCTCCACTGACTGATGGCAGGTAGAAATTAGTCATAAAATGACACCACTCATTGTGTCCTGTTACTGTTTTACGGGGTGTTTTTTATAGAAGCAGCATCTGTTCAGCTCTAGTCCTGTGTTAAATTTTGAAAAAAATGGAAAGGGAATTGCAGCGAGAAGGTCCTGGGTTCGCTTCCCGGCGGGGGATCTTTCTGCACTGAGGTTGCATGTTCTCCCTGTGCATGCGTGGGTTCTCTCCAGGTACTCCGGCTTCCTCCCACAGTCCAAAAACATGACTGTTGGGTTAATTGGTCTGTCTAAATTGTCCTTAGGTGTGTGTGTGTGTGTGTGTGTGTGTGTGTGTGTGTGTGTGTGTGTGTGTGTGTGTGTGTGTGTGTGTGTGTGTGTGTGTGTGTGTGTGTGTGTGTGTGTGTGTGTGTGTGTGTGTGTGTGTGTGTGTGTGCATAATTGTTTGTCCTGTGTGTCTCTGTGTTGCCCTGCAATGGACTGGCTCTCTGTCCAGGGTGTACCCTGCCTGATTGCCCATTGACCACTGGAAATAGGCACCAGCCCCCCCAGCAGTTGTTTTGTCTTTGGGCAAGACACCTCACCCAACTTGCCAGCTGGTGGTATAGCAGCCAAAGGCACCAGTGTTCAGCAGCCTCGCCTCCACCAGTGTGCCCCAGGGCAGCTGTGGCTACAGTGCAACTTAGCACATTTAGCATATGAATGGGTGAATGACTGATGTTTTGTACAGCACCATGGAGGGTTAAATGCAGGCAATTTACCATATATCAGTAAAATTTGCTTAAGCTTAAAGGTGCATTATGTAAGAATGATATCCTGTGGTCAAATGTGGGTACTGCAGCCCATTTTCCAAACAATATGAGTCACTTCCTCACTCCAGCTCCATGAGTTTCATGGCTGTTTCCAGCAATGACTCAGCCCCGGAAGATTGTTAACGAGTGAAGACGAGTCACACAGTATACATTTGACTGTAATATTCAGTGTTTGGTCATTTAAAAAGTAGCTTTAGATTTTTTAGAGCCAACATTTGCTTCTAATTCACAGTTAGCATTGTTAGTAAGTAAGTACATTTTATTTATATAGCACTTATCACGGACATAGAATCACAAAGTGCTTCACATACATCAAAACAAAATAAATCAAAGCTATAAAATCATAATGATGTCAAAACAGAAATAGATTAACATCAGAAAAATGAAAGTCATAAATTATAAAATTTCATAAAAAGATTATTACAATTTTGAGTTAAAAATAAGAAAATAAAAGATTTAGCTGTTTTTTAAAAGTGTCCAGACTGTCAGTGCTGCGTAAGGATAAAGGAAGATCATGCCAAAGTCGGGGTGCAACAGTCCGGATGGAGCGATCTTTTATATTTGGTCTTTGGAACTTCTAGAAGGTTCTGGTGTGTAGACCTGAGGGCTTTAACAGTTCAGTAATACAGGGAGGAGATTGACCACGTAGAGCCCTGAAAGTTACAGTCAGGATTCTAAAATGAACTCTGAAGTTAACGGGTAACCAGTGCAGAGAAATTAGAATAGGAGTGATGTGTGCTCTTCTGTTTGCTCCAGTTAGGAGCCTCGCTGCAGAGTTCTGGACCAACTGAAGGCGGTCAAGGGCTTTTTTGTTAAAACATGTGAAAAGTGTGTTACAGTAATCTAGACAGGAGGAGATAAAGGCATGGAGAACCATTTCAAGTTCATGTTTTGACACCAACTTTCTCAGTTTTATGTAATCTCCTCTCCCCTAGCATAGCTGCTACTTACCAAATGGCAACATTTACAGTATGGTGGTTCGTTCCTCCTGTGGGAAGGATTTGAAGTTCACTAAACTTACAGCCATACCCCTCTGTTTTCTCTGTGTCTGGTTCAATGACGTCACTTTTGTGAAGGGCATCTGTAGTCCTGGACTTATTTTCACACAAAACCTAAAATATTGTTCCCCACAGTTCAAAAATAAGCGTGTTCTTGGTATCAAAAAAGCTTCTTTAAAATTCACGGACATCATATGTAAAATCCATGGCACAAAACAAACAGGATTAGAAAACAGGATTAGAAAATAGCATGTTTGGCCCCTCTTACTACCATTCTTTTTTTTTTTTTCGTTCTTCCAGGGACCCATGGTCCGGAAGTAGATGGGCAGCTCCCTACAGTTTAATTTGGAAGTCCATTGTTGCCAAGTGCCTTGCCTCGACCTCTTGCCCCTTCTTTGGACCCCGCCCCCTAATTTGATTCAAGAGTGGAATCAATGTCTTTTAACTGTTGTGTTTTGATAAACATCAGTCTGATAATTGCAATGTTATGCCAATGCTTTCAAATTTCTTTCCTTGAAAAGGTGTCTCGGTCAAGAAGGCTAACATATCATTTGCTCACTAGCTAAGATGGTTAAAGAGGTTTGGGCTAAAGGCACGTAGAGTCTTAAACCAAATTCAATAAAGCTGACGTAAATATAAACAGCTATCCACAATCATAGATTATCTAAATCAAAACATGTGTGTGATTTGGTAAGATGATGCAGTTGCAGGCAGTGATGACTCGGACCACACATGACAGCAAGGTTCAGAACTCGGATGCTGTGCATTTCTTCATGCACAACATTTGTCCATCATTCTTCATGTTTGCCGAACAGAAATTACTCCTCAGCCTTAATGGGGATGAACTGAAAGGTTCTTAGGGCCAAACATCCTATGAAAAACCTCAACTTTCTAGTTCCCTGAAATATTTCTTGGTCAACAAATGAATCCAAAGAGATGAGGAGAAGACACTACCAAAGACACCCTCCACTGGCCTCGTGCTAATAACTGTCAACTGATTAAATGTGTAAGATCTGAGACAAACGACTGGGCACTGGGTGCAACAAAGCCAAGCATCTCATTCTCTGACTCTGAATTCTAGCACCTCATGTGAATTTCAATGATTCCTCTGTAAACTTTTTACATAAGCATCAACTCACACTGAGTGTATATCAGGTTATAAATCATCAGCCCACACTCCAGACTCTGAGCCCAGTGCTGACTCCAACACTGTCACACTCAATGGCAGTGGGCTGGAGGTTATCGACCAGGCCTATGGCACTGAAAGCAATGCAAATTTCTACTGTGCACCCATGACGAAACATGTGTGCAGCACATGTCTTCCACACAAACAAGAAGTGACTTGAACTCACGCAGATTTGCAATATTACAGGAAGCACACAGAGAAGTCAATCAATATTTGACCCACCTGGCCTTTCCTGACCAACCTTTGCTCTTATGCTTGCCCGTCTTGTCACACACAGCATCAACCCGACTCTGTAACTCTTGAAAATATGAAAAGAACGGAGAAATGTGATTACTCCGTAATGTGCAGCAGGCTTATGGGGAATGGCATGCTCCTCCTGCTGATTTTGAATATCTCCAATAATTGCTATCCAGTGGTTCTGTATAGCTAAGTGGCGTCCTCTGAATAAGTCCTTTCTCGAAATCATGGAGCAAAAGTAAGACCGTTAACAATAGCAGTGCTTTCCATGTATGTCAAACCCCAAGTCACCCCCCCCCCCCCCCCCAAAGCAGCTTGTTGAGGGTAATTACAGTATACTCTAAGTTGCACTAAAACAAAAATGTGCCGCTGGAATGAAAGAACTCCACCAGCTGCCTCAAATCAGGATGGAAATTATGTGATTCTTGGATACAATCAAGAAAAAAGTTTGATGGTTAACTCTGAGTTATCAAAATTACGGTGTCTCTGCCAGATCCTCTCTCAGAAATCGACCCCTTTTCTTTAATGAGACCACATAATGGTTAAATAAGTTAGGCTCAAATCTAAATATATGACTTCTTTTTCTTTTTATCATACAATCTGACTGAAGGAACTCTCACTGCTTTCGGTGAATTACATTAATGGAGGCATCAGAGCTTTCAGTATGTGCTTTATTTTGTTGTAAGCAATTTTTTGCCAATGCTAAATACATGTTCAAATCAAACAAGGAGAAACAATCTGTTCTTAAAGTCACTCCAGTAAAACATAACAAAGTACATGTGGTATCACTCCGGTCCACATTAGCAATCAGCCTACAACAGAAGGTGTC